ATGGAGTGGGGCCACAACATTAGTAACAAAGAAACAGAATTTCCGGAGGATGAGGACCAGAAATCAGGATTTTGAAAAGATTCCCAGGTGATTCGAGAACCACTGGTGTAGACATTTACAGACCGGGATACAAGTTTATCGATGAATGCAGACAACTTTAATTCTATTCATTTTGTGCATTTGATCCAATCACCTTATTCGTTGCTCATTTTCTGTGAGGGAGCACACAAATTACCCAGGTTATAGGTGAAAACACTGATTGTTAGACTGTTTGGATAATTTGCTAAAGGAGGCACAGCTAACAAATATCAGAACAGGGATTAAAACATGGGCCATACTGACTTCCACCCATACTTTAAATCACCCCACCCTTCTGCATTTGGTGGAGGGAGGCATCTGCAAAATAGGAATATGGACCCAAAAGTTCCTGTCAGAAATGCTGGATCTAACACAAATCATTTGCATAACAGCTTTCACCTGGGAAGGGACATGCTGATGAGAAAAGAGATACAGCTTTGGGGACCTGTCCATATTCTGACCTGCATTGGGTTGGTGACTCAGAAAATATTTGTCTGCCCTGACCAATTTGGCTCAGTGGATAGAGCGTAGGCCTGTGGACTGAAGAGTCCCAGGTTTGATTCCAGTCAAGGAGTGGGGCCACAACATTAGTAACAAAGAAACAGAATTTCCGGAGGATGAGGACCAGAAATCAGGATTTTGAAAAGATTCCCAGGTGATTCGAGAACCACTGGTGTAGACATTTACAGACCGGGATACAAGTTTATCGATGAATGCAGACAACTTTAATTCTATTCATTTTGTGCATTTGATCCAATCACCTTATTCGTTGCTCATTTTCTGTGAGGGAGCACACAAATTACCCAGGTTATAGGTGAAAACACTGATTGTTAGACTGTTTGGATAATTTGCTAAAGGAGGCACAGCTAACAAATATCAGAACAGGGATTAAAACATGGGCCATACTGACTTCCACCCATACTTTTAAATCACCCACCCTTCTGCATTTGGTGGAGGGAGGCATCTGCAAAATAGGAATATGGACCCAAAAGTTCCTGTCAGAAATGCAAGCTCTAACACAAATCATCTGCATAACAGCTTTCACCTGGGAAGGGACATGCTGAAGAGGAAAGAGATCCAGCTTTGGGGACCTGTCTGTTCATATTCTGACCTGCATTGGGTTGGTGACTCAGAAAATATTTGTCTGAATATTTGCATTTGTAACCTGGGGCCAATAATGTGTGTCATGCAGAGATTTGCACAAACAAATAAAACAAACTGTTTAATAAAAAATATAGGCTCAATTAATCTTTGTTCTCTATAAACTGTGATAAATCTCTAGTCTAGGACAATTATTTACTACTAGACACCCGGTGCATGGACTTGTGCACAGATGAGGTCCCTAGGCCTGGCCTGTGGGGATCAGGCTGAAACCGATCTCCAACATCCCCTGAAGCATCCTGGATTGTGAGAGGGCAGTTCTCGGGTGTTGCACCCTGAAATTGGGCTCCCTCCTCTCTGGTTCCGGTTGTGTCACCCGAGAACCGCAGCTGCCAAGTCACCGCAGCTCAGCAGCTCCTGCATTGAGTGCCTGCCGCCTTGTGGTCATTGCATGTCATAGCTACCGGTCGGACAGTCGGCGGACCAGATGATTGCTTAGGCTTTTATATATATATAGATGTGCAGTTCTGGGATCAAAGGCAGCCATGGGTTACTTTTGCCTGACTCGTCTATGGTTCAGACAGAAACTCCTTTGAAATGCTAATACTGTTGTCTGATAATTTATTGGATGAAATTAACTACAGAGAGGTGATTCTTAAGGGAAAATAAATATGGAACCAAAGACAGCACTTCCTGTTTGATGTTAAGTCTGATGTACAAAAAGGTGTGGTGCTACCAGAAAGTTGTGGCTTCAGAGTGATTGGTGATTACACGGAAGAGCTGATGGAAGGGAGAGTTTTGTGTGAAGAGAGACTATCATAGTGGAGCCTCTAGTACCGTCCATCCATTCCTGGCCCACCTCTGGTATCAGCCTCAGCTGCAGTGGAGAATTACATGCAAGATTGTGTGCATTTACCTGGTTCTGACAGGACCCCCTCACCTGCAGGCTGGGTGTCCCTCTGCTTTCTGCTCTGGCCTCCTCTCTATCATGGGAGCCCACGTGGCCTGCACCGCAGGGCAGCCAGAACAAAGAAACAGAATTTCCGGAGGATGAGGCCCAGAAATCAGGATTTTAAAAAGATTCCCAGGTGATTCTAATGTGCAGCCAAGGTTGAGAACCACTGGTGTAGACATTTACAGACTGGGATACAAGTTTATTGATGAACGCAGACGACTTTAATTCTATTCATTTTGTGCATTTAATCCAATCACCTTATTCATTGCTCATTTTCTGGGAGGTAGCGCAAATTACAGAGGTTACAGGTGAAAACACTGATTGTTAGACAGTTTGGATAATTTGCTAAAGGAGGCACAGCTAACAAATACCAGAACAGGGATTAAAACATGGGCCATACTGACTTCCACCCATACTTTAAATCACCCCACTCTTCTGCATTTGGTGGAGGGAGGCATCTGCAAAATAGGAATATGGACCCAAAAGTTCCTGTCAGAAATGCTGGATCTAACACAAATCATTTGCATAACAGCTTTCACCTGGGAAGGGACATGCTGATGAGAAAAGAGATACAGCTTTGGGGACCTGTCCATATTCTGACCTGCATTGGGTTGGTGACTCAGAAAATATTTGTCTGCCCTGACCAATTTGGCTCAGTGGATAGAGCGTAGGCCTGTGGACTGAAGAGTCCCAGGTTTGATTCCAGTCAAGG